CACGACACGACGATGTTCTAAGCTCCTGACAAGCATCCACAAGATGAGAAAATATTCATGTCCAAGCTTCTTCAAGAACTCCAAGGCATCTTCAATTGGTCTTCATCTTCATCCAAGCACAAAAGCACCACCACCCTAATCTAAGGGGAACTATTGAGTTAAACTAGTCAAATTAGTGTGTTAGAAACACCTAAAAGTTAGTCCTAAAACTAATCCTACTTAAAATACCAAAGTGATTGTAAAATCCTACAAAAATTACTAAGGGTTCCTAAACCTCTTAAGAATATCTCTATACAAAAACCAGGGGGTTAACCATTCATTTGGACCTAAAACTATGCCCTAAACCTAAGGGTACTATCTTAAAACCCTAATTTTACAACACCTAATGTTCAATATTCAAACTAGCCTAAATTTATCTCACAAAAATATGAGAAAATTACTAGGGGTACATGCATTTCTAAGCTATCTATCCCAAAAAGAATCAATTCAAAATCATACACCAATTAGTCATACCAAAATCAGGAAGAACACATACCAACCATATTGAATTTAAAACCGATTAAAAACACAAAAATGCAATAAAAAAAATAAAATGCATGAATTATGAATTTTTTATCCTATTAAATTCTAGACTCTTTAAGGAGTCAGGGAAAAAAATCTAGGCTAAAAATTATTATTTTTCTATTTGTTATGATTTATTTCCTAAACTATATAAAAATATGAAATAAAAGAAATAATACAAAAATGATAAAAGTGGCGTGTGAAATAGCAATTCTATCATGTTGTAAACCAAACCTGGGCCTAAGGGAGGGGTGCGCATAAGAATCTGACTAAGCCCAAACCAACATTAAAACAAATCAGAAAATAAAATGGAAATTGAGAGAGTCTTGTGGCAAATAGCAATTGTTTCTAGTGTATTTTCCCACATGGGCCTAACCAGGGGCGTGATTAGCAAGAGTTCACTTAAGCCCATCCAAAACACTTAAGTGAAATGGTGAGTTTTGATCAAACTTTTTCTCTTCAGAAAACGAAACAAGATCGTGGCCATTGGTTTTGGTTTGAGTCAAGGGTCAAAGCCTCATCTGAGGGCTCCCAGTCATCTTCTCCAAAACATTCAAACTTGGGAGGGAAAGCTTGGGACGATGGCCTGAGCTTTGCGCCACCGTCGTCTCCGGTTAGGGTTTGCCCAAAACACACCAATTCTTGCAACTAAACATCCTATCTCACTCCAAATTCTCTCCTGATCACGAATATGCCCTCAGAATTTATTGATTCTCACTCAAAATCCAAAATCGATCCAAGTTTTAGAGTATGACTCAAATCGTGAATCACTCAAAACCTAAAATTAAATCTCCTAAACTCATCTACACGTTTCAGTGATCAAAACTTGCTATTCAAAACATGACTAACTCATCAAGAACCAAGAGATATATGCTTCAACAGAAATGGTGCCATGCCTAGTTTGGTCTCTAATTGTCCAATTTTTGTGCCTAAATCCATCCTAGCCTCATCCCTAATCTAACCACATAACAAATTCTATGCATCTCCCTATAAATTAAGCTAAAAGAAGAAAGTTGCAAACCTGGTTTTAAGGGATGAACAGATGATGAATTCCTTCGAATCAAGCTCCAATTCTTTCCAGAATCACTCAACAACTCCTTCCAAAGCTTCTGAAACAGATGATTTGCCTTGAATCTTCACCAATCCTCAAACCCGATTCTTGATGCAGTTGGGAAAATTTCAATTGCTCTCTCTTGATTCTCTTCACCTCTGGCCCAAAAAATGATCTGAATCCAATGCATATGTTATATAGAGTTGATTAGAACTCTCTAGAAAGTTCTGTAACAACCACAATGAGAAATTGAAAATCTCGTATCCCTTGAAAATCTCATATGTGAAAATTGGGAATTGCTCTATTCTTGGCCTTGATTTCACTTGAAATGAATATCTCATGACATTTTGAACTGAATGGGATGTGTATCTCCCTTGCTTTTGATCCAAGGATGTGTAATTCAAATGTTGCTTCATTCTTAAGTTACAAAAGGGAAATGCTTGAAATTTACCTCAAATCCAAAATGTGGTAATGTCATCATTCTTAGAATGCTTTTTCTGATCAATTTGACATATAACATGAGCTTGTTTGGACCCCAATCATTAAATTCCATTTTTTTGGCCTTTAAATGACTTATTTTTCTTCCTTTTTAAGCCATTTCAAGCAACTTCTTGTTACAA